TGTTGAGGCTTATTGGTCACCCAATTAGTGGTTGTTGTGGCTGATTATCTGCTCATTTGATGGTTGGTGGGGAAATTGACAATCCATTTGATGGTTGTTGTAGCTGAATGGCCACCCATTTGATAATTTCTGTGGCTGGTTGACCACCTGTTTGGTGGTTGGTAAGGTTGATTGACCATTCATTTGATGGCTGCTGTGGCTGACTGGCAAGCCACTTGATGGTAGTTGTTACTATTTGACCACCCATTTGGTGGTTGTTAAGGCTGATTGACCACCCAGTTGATGGTTGTTATGGCTGATTGACCACCAAGTTTGTGGTTGCTGTGGCTGATTGACTACTCATTTCACAGTTGTAGTGGCTGGTTGACTACCCATTTGACAGTTGTAGTGGCTGACTGACTACCCATTTGATGGTTGTTGTGGTTAATTGACAACTAATTTGATGGTTGATGTGGCTGATTAACCAGCCATTTTATGGATGTTGAGGCTTATTGACCACCCAGTTAGTGGTTGTTGTGGCTGATTGACTACTCATTTGATGGTTGATGTGGAAAATTGATCATCCATTTGATGGTTGTTGTAGCTGAATGGCCACCCATTTGATGGTTTCTGTGGCTGGTTTACCACTCGTTAATGGTTGATGTGACTGATTGACCGCTCATTTGTTGGTTGATTTGGGTGATTGACCACCCACTTGATAGTTGTTGTGGCTGATTGACCACTCATTTGATGACTAATGTGGCTAATTGACCACCCATTTGATGGTTTATGTGGCTAGCTGACCACCGCTTTGGTGGTTGATGTGGCTGACTGACCAGCTATTCGATAGTTGTTGTGGCCGACAGACCACCCATTTGATGATTGATGTGGGTGACTAACCATCCATTTGATGGTTGATGTGGTTGATTGACCACCCATTTGATGGTGCCTACATAGTTTGTAGTATATAGTACATGAAACCAAAAGCCTTTTTAGCTCTTTGTAAGGGTGGTATTCTGACCACCATTGTAAGGGACCATTATTCCCACTGCCCCCTGATGAATTAATTTTGTCAGGGGTTCCCTGAGACATAAATATTTTTCAAAGGTTCCTTGGGGATAAACGTTGAAAGAGGCTGGTCATGATCCATATGCAGATGGACATCAACAAATAGTTATTGTAACTTTCACATGAAGATGCCTCTAGCTCAACTTAAACATGGAAGGATGCTGTCATGATCTTGTATATGCCCTAAAGGAACATCAGATGTTCACAAGATATATACGTTCTTAAATCAATGCCATTAAAGAGCATTAGGATAACCTTCACAGCCAAAATGCAATATCAACAGTAGTATATCATCTAAGGAGGCCTGTATGAGGAATGCTGCATGTAGGATAAATATCGAGCAGATGTACGGCTCTCCTCTTACTTATGGGGTTCTTCCTGTGTGCACCGCAAAGGAATTTCAACAGTTAAGAAAATATATGTTAAGAATCTTCTGTGCAACAAGAATGTCCTCATATCAACGCCACCAAAGACCATTGGAAGTAATCTTCACTCCTAGTGTGCCGTGTCTGCGGTGGTCCATCAACTGGTGAATGGCTCATATGAGGTGAATAACAACCAACTCTACTGCTCTTCTCACAACTGTAATCTCAGGCAGGAAAACACAAATGTCCGGCACAGAATAAATGCACATAATCATGCATAAGAGCAGCGTGGAGCATGGCGAGTGAAAAAACAGCTGTAATCCCGCAGGGGTGATTGATATATATCTTGTGAATAGCTGTAGCTCCCTTGGGGCATGTACAAGACCTTGACAGTATACTTCATTCTTTGTGTGGAGTCAGAGGCATCTTCATGTGAAAGTTACAATTACTATTTTCAATGTCCTTTATTCATATGGATCTAGATCAGCCATTCTCAACCTGGGTTCCGTGGAACCTTAACCACTCGCCTACCGGGCACATACACCCCCTTCCTGCCCAGGCCAATGCTTTCAGAGCTGTCGCGCTTTGAATGAAAATTGCGCGGTCATGCAACATTGTACCCATATTCAATTATTATAATTTTTTTCTCACAAATAGAGCTTTCTTTTGGTGGTAATTAATCCCTGCTGGGTGTTTTATTTTTAGCGCTATCAACAATAAAAGAGCAAAAAATAATATTTAAAAAAAAAGTGTTTTTTTTTGTTTCTATTATAAAATTTTGCAAACAGGTCATTTTTCTCCTTCACTGATGTGAGATGATGAGGCTGCACTGATAGGTGGCACAGATAAGCAGCACTAATGGGCACTGATAGGCAGTACTAATGGGCACTGATAGGCAGCACTGATGGGCACTGATGAGGTGGCACGGATAGGCAGCACTGACTGATGAGGCGGCACTGATATGTGGCACTGATATGCAGCAATGATGGGCACTGGTGGGTAGCACTGATGGGCACTGACTAACGGCACTGCTGGTGGCACTGATGGGTGGCACTAATGGGGGGCATTGGTGAGTGGCACTGCTGGGCACTGGTGGGTGGCACTGCTGGGCACTGATCATCAGGGCACTGATCATCAGTGCCGATCTGTTCACTGACAATTGCCGGTTATCGACAGTACCTTCCTTGAACAGTAGAAGAAAGTGCAATGTAAGGGACCTGTAAGCAGTTTGAAATGCTGGTTAGTGAGACCGCTGGGAGGGAAACCCTGTTTCCCATACTTTTTGCTGAGCTCTGCCTCTCTCCCTGTGCTGTTAATAAAAGGGGGAAGGGTTCTGCCTAGAGACAGTCTGCTTGGGAAGGAGACACAGACAAGCCACAGCATGTAATCTTCAACTGTGTACAGAGAAGAGAGAAGGGGGAGAAGTTCCACCTCAGACAGCAAGCCTGTCTCCTGTCACATCCACCATGCAGGGGAATTGCTGGGACCTGCAGCCCACCCTGAAGCAGGGGCGGACTGACAACTCATGGGGCCTCCGGGCAATAGGAGATCATTGGGCCCCCTGTGTCCCTGCCCACACTCAAGCCTAATCAAGATATCATGGGCAGGTGACATGTACTATTAGACCCCCAATGTCTATTACTAAGTGCTATTCCCTATATATAGCACTGATATCTGTACACTGACTGCTATTGCTTATCTATAGAACACTGATATCTGTACACTGACTGCTATTCCTTATCTATAGAACACTGATATCTGTACACTGACTGCTATTCCTTATCTATACTGATATCTGTACACTTCTATATAGAACACTGATATCTGTACACTGACTGCTATTCCTTATCTATAGAACACTGATATCTGTACACTGACTGCTATTCCTTATATATAGAACTTCTATATAGAACACTGATATCTGTACACTGACTGCTATTCCTTATCTATATAACACTGATATCTGTACACTGACTACTGCTATTCTCTATCTATATAACACTGATATCTGTACATTGACTGCTATTCCTAATACTGTATACTGTATATAGAACACTGATATCTGTACACTGACTGCTATTCCTATCTATAGAACACTGATATCTGTACACTGACTGCTATTTCTAATACTGTATATAGAACACTGATATCTGTACACTGACTGCTATTCCTTATCTATAGAACACTGATATCTGTACATTGACTGCTATTTCTAATACTAATATATAGAACACTGATATCTGTACACTGACTGCTATTCCTATCTATACTGATATCTGTATTACTGAACCCTGATATCTGTACACTGACTGCTATTCCCTGTATACTGTATATAGAACACTGATATCTGTACACTGACTGCTATTCCTAATACTGTATATAACACTGATATCTGTACACTGACTGCTATTCTCTATCTATATCTATAGAACACTGATATCTGTACACATTGACTGCTATTCCTAATACTGTATACTGTATATAGAACACTGATATCTGTACACTGACTGCTATTCCTTATATATAAACTGATATCTGTATCTGTACACTGACTGCTATTCCTAATACTGTATACTGTATATAGAACACTGATATCTGTACACTGACTGCTATTATATAACACTGATATCTGTACACTGACTGCTATTCTCTATATATAACACTGATATCTGTACACTGACTGCTATTCTCTATATATAACACTGATATCTGTACACTGACTGCGATTCCTAATACTGTATACTGTATATAGAACACTGATATCTGTACACTGACTGCTATTCCTTATATATAGAACTTCTATATATAACACTGATATCTGTACACTGACTGCTATCCCTTATCTATAGAGCACTGATGTGTAAACTGACTGCTATTCCCTATATATAACACTGGGAACCCGGAGCTCTGCTTTAACTTCATCTATAATGGAGTATACCTTTAAACATGAACAGGAGTTCCCTTTTAAATCCAGATCCACAGCCTTCAGATATGACAGCTGCAGCCATCACCAGTCTAGGACTACGGGTTTGGCAGTCCCGCAAGGCCCCGAGGGGCTCCCGCAGTCAGGTTAAATTAGTACATATCCTTATGTCCCTTTTAAACAGCTGAACTGTATAGAATCTGAACTGTGTGCACATGATTTATGTTAAAACATCTGGTTCCCAACTGGCTGAGACAGCGTGACCCTCCAGTTACACCGCCAGCCATTCATCATCCGGCTACATCAAATAATATGCTGAGTGTTAAAATGTCATTTGTTTTTCATGGGGAAGGAAGGATTATTCCAGTATTACCAGCTCCGCTCCTCTCCTCCTAGGATCATCAGACTCCATTCCCTCTCCTCTCCGACGATCACAGACGCCTATCCTTAAAATAGTGCTGTGATTAGGGATGAGTGAAGGTGAGAGTTCTTTCTTTTCCCCTGAGATTTCTGCACAAATCAAGAGGTTTTGGTAAAACTTTAGTCCAATTTGTGGAAAAGAATTGGAGTCAATGGCAAAGGCAAAATTAGGGGTGGGTTTGAGGGTGCAATGGGCTCCTTAGGGGTAGGGACTATCATTGAAACTATTCCAGAGCTGATCATTGTTATATTGTTTCATCTTGGACCAATGTAATTATGTATATACCAGACCTGTGGGATCCTTCCAGAAGCTGGACATTATTGTAGTAGGCCCCTTACACTGGTGGTTAGTAGGAAGAATGTTCCTTATATTGATGATCAGGTGGGAAGAATGCTTCTTACATTGGTGGTCAGTGGGAAGAATGCTCCGTACATTGGTGGTCAGTGGGAAGAATGCTCCTTACATTGGTGGTCAGTGGGAAGAATGTTCCTTACATTGGTGGTCAGTGGGAAGAATGTTCCTTACATTGGTGATCAGTGAGAAGAATGCTCCTTACATTGGTGGTCAGTGGGAAGAATGTCCCTTACATTGGTGGTCAGTGGGAAGAATGCTCCTTACATTGGTGGTCAGTGGAAAAATTGCTCCTTACATTGGTGATCAGTGGGAAGAATGTCCCTTACATTGGTGATCATTGGGAAGAATGCTCCTTACATTGGTGGTCAGTGGGAAGAATGTTCCTAAACGTTGGAGGTCAGTGGGAAGAATTCCCCTTACATTGGTGATCAGTGGGAAGAATGTTCTTACATTGGAGGATCAGTGGAAGAATGTTCCTTACATTGGTGATCAGTGGGAAGAATGCTCCTTACATTGGTGATCAGTGGGAAGAATGCTCCTTACATTGGTGATCAGTGAGAAGAATTCTTCTTACATTGGCAATCAATTGGAAGAATCTCGCTCCTATAGATGGCTAAAAAGACCATTAGAATCAGTGAGAACTAGTTTATTGATCCCTTAGTAACCTCTCTAGGAACCTTAGGGCTCCAAAGAACCCTGGTCAAGACATTACAGTACAATAGTTGACACCGTATCCTAATCCTAAATGCCTCTCCAGGGTCTTGCGACGCTCCTCTCCAGCCATTTGATGACCATTGATGAAGTAACGCGAGGATCCCAGGATTTACATCATCCCTGACACCAGTCACATCCAACCATGCCACCATCAAGCCCACCCCGCAAGCCAGAGTACTTGGTGTCATACTATATTCCAATTTATCCGTCCAGCCCCAAGTCCAATCACTAACAAACTCGTGCAGACTCCACCTCCGCAACATCGCCAAAATACGCCCATTCCTAACCCCAGAAACCACTAAACAGCTCATCCACTCCCTCATCATATCACGACTCGACTACTGCAACTCCCTCCTCACTGGCCTGCCTCACCACAGGCTATCCCCACTTCAGTCGATCCTGAATACGGCGGCTAGACTCATCCACCTTACCAACCGCTCCGTTTCCGCACACCCCCCCTCTGCCAATCCCTCCACTGGCTTCCGATTGCCCAATGGATCAAATTCAAAATCCTAACACTGACGTACAAAGCTGTCCATAATTCTGCCCCAAACTACATCACCGACCTAATATCCAAATACCACCCAAAACGCACACTCCGCTCCTCACAAGACCTCCTTCTCTCTAGTTCCCTGGTCTCCTCCTCCCATGCCCGCCTCCAGGACTTCTCCAGGGCATCACCCATCCTCTGGAACTCCCTACCCCAATCCATCAGACTGTCACCTACCCTCCTCTCCTTTAGGCGCACCCTGAAAACCCACCTCTTCAGGGAAGCCTACCCCACCCTCTGCTAACTGCCGATCTCCTCCACTCTTCCTACTACTCCATCCCCCACAGCTTTTCCTCCCGTACCACTATCCCTTCCCTCCTAGATTGTAAGCTCTGAGGAGCAGGACCCTTGAACCCCTCGTGTATTGTATTGTTATTGTACTGTCTCATGTATTGTCTCCCATTGTAATGTACAGCGCTGAGTGAACTGTTGGCGCTATATAAATCCTGAATAATAATAATAATATTCTACGTATGCGGAGAATGGTGCCGGGATGTACGCTGCGTGGTAAATGCACCCTGCCGTGTATACACAATACAAAAGGGAAAGTTTTTTTTTACAGAAGCAACTTTAAATGCCTTTTGTGCCATAATAGAAATTCTGCTTTAAAATGTTAATAAACCCTCAATGGTAAATGTGCTATAGTGCAGCAAACTGCTGGACATTCCATGTTTCGAACTGTCCTTTAAAAAAAATATATCTGTTTTTATTAGAGAAAAAATGTAATTTCTCGGTCCCTGGATCAGACATAACCCATAATTTGGAGTTTACGCTTCAGCTACACAGGTGAAATTTAGAAACTGGTCCATTCAATAAAATGGTGATTAATCCCTACCAGATGGAAGACTTGGCTCCCTGTGTTGTTACATTGTATCAATGGAGGATATAAAACTGCACATTGTGCAACTGAGGCCCCGTTTCACACCATCGTCTTAGAACACGCACACGCATTTTTGCTCATTGGCGCATTAAAATGTAACACAATGTAAGCAGTGGTGTATTTAGGCTTAGTGCTGCCCTAGGCAACACAAAAATCATCTGCCCCCATGGACACCGACCAACACCCCTGCCACCCCCTGGGAGAGCCTTCCACTAAAACCCCCCCCCAGCGATACAGAGAAAGACACTCATCTTCACAGCTCCAGACATCCCCGGGAATGAGAGCCAGGCTCTATATACACCATCAAGCAGCTCACAGCCTCTCTCGGATCCCACCTGGTTCCCATGGTGCGCATGTTCCCTTCTTTCATCCCTTTGTCTGAGGGGGGATGTTGCCCCCCTGAAAAATGCCACCCTAGGCAAGTGCCTTGTTTGCTTTGTGGTAGATACACCCCTGAATGTAAGATGCATTTAACATGCATTTAAATGCGTTCAATGTGCTTATGTGAGGAGCTTAATCATTTCATTTGCACATGCTTTTAGCATGCTGTGATCCTGCATTGTAGCGCACAGAAGACTAGGTTCGCGGGTTGCGTGTCTGCATTTTCTTGAATTTCATGTATTTTTTTAAAATGTATTTTTGATACTTTATCATGCGTTTTTCATGCATTTCCACTGAAAGCTATGGAGCCAAACAGGGTCTTAATAGTATCATGGGCCCCTAGGCAAAGTAATGCACTGGGGCCCCCCACCAGCCTGTCCCAGTTTATGCACCTACTCTCAAGAATTAAAGTATAAATAGCTGATAGAATTAAACATATATTTATTAGTACTTTCAATAAAATTGAAAACAATAAGAAAACATGCCGTAAATCAAAGACTAATCAACACAAAGGGAAGAGTATGGGGGTACTGGGATCAGGAGGGTACAGTACAGGTTCTAAGACACTGCCCAGGCTATCTAGGGACAGCTTAGTAAAAAGCTTGACTGTCCCAGCAAATCCGGGACAGTTGGCAAGTATGATGTAATGCAAGATTATCATAGGGCCCCCATGCACTTGGGGCCCATGCATTAAGATAGCCCTGGAGCGACAAATGCACCAACAGAAGCACCGCATCTTCTCCTAAGTTGCACAGAAGCGCATTGCATAGTTGTGAATGGGATTCCTCTTGTTGTGTATGGCCAAAGCGTGACAAAACACGCAGGTGCGAATAGGGACTAATTCTCCGTTCACGCTAATGCATTATTTTGTGCTTTTTGCAGAAACGCACTACAGTCCATTTAACATGGTTCCCTATGGGACACGTTCACATCTCAGCATGCTTTTTGAGCTGCTGCGTTTTTGGAAAAGTTCAGGGATTATTTTAAAAGCAAAAAGCAGCGTTTTTGCTACAATGGAGTTCAATGGAGAATCTGCTGAAATGTATTTTGCCGCGCTTTGCATTTTTATTCTGCGCAGCAAACAAAAAAATTGCAGTTTAAAAAAAAAAAGCTGAACAAAATGCAAAATGCGGCAAAAACGCAGCAAAAACACGTGTAGAAAAACGCAAAATAAACTGCAAAAAGTACTGCAAAACGGACAAAAAGCAAACTGCATAGGTGAGAATGGAGCCTTAATGTGACTTTCTTCAGTTTGGATAGAACAATGAAGGGTAAGGCTCCATGCACACGGGGCCTTTTGATAAGGCTGGTAATGTTAGCTGTGTAAAGTTACGTTAAAAAAACTGAGTTTTACAGCTTTCTTTTAGTGTTTTTGCATTTAGTGGCATTTTGCTGCGATTAACTGCGTTTTTCCGCGTTTGTGGTTTTTAGCATTTTTTTTACTCCCCAAAGCTTTTTAGGGTCAAAAAAGTAAGAAAATGATGGTTTGTGGCGTTTTACCGAATTTTGCCGCATTTTTCAGCATTAGAGCGTTTTTACAGCTTAAAAAAACTCCTTTAGAAACCCAATAGTCCTGTTTTTTTTTTCAGCCAAAAAAAGGTCCCTGCCAAAAAATGCTGATTACAGTCTATGTGTGCATGGACACATAGGATAACATGCCGGGGATGGACACATAGGATAACGTGCCGGGGATGGACACATAGGATAACATGCTGGGGATGGACACATAGGATAACGTGCCGGGGATGGACACACAGGATAACGTGCCGGGGATGGACACATAGGATAACGTGCCGGGGATGGACACACAGGATAACGTGCTGGGGATGGACACGTAGGATAACGTGCCGGGGATGGACACATAGGAGAACATGCCGGGGATGGACACACATAGGATAACATGCCGGGGATGGACGCGTAGGATAACGTGTGCGGGGATGGACACATAGGAGAACATGCCGGGGATGGACACACATAGGATAACATGCCGGGGATGGACACACACGTGCCGGGTAACATGCCGGGGATGGACACGTAGGATAACATGCCGGGGATGGACACGTAGGATAACATGCCGGGGATGGACACATAGGAGAACATGCCGGGGATGGACACACATAGGATAACATGCCGGGGATGGACACATAGGGTAACATGCCGGGGATGGACACATAGGATAACATGCCGGGGATGGACACGTAGGATAACATGCCGGGGATGGACACATAGGATAACATGCCGGGGATAACATGCCAGGGATGGACACGTAGGATAACATGCCGGGGATGGACACGTAGGATAACATGCCGGGGATGGACACATAGGATAACATGCCGGGGATGGACACACAGGTTAACATGCCGGGGATGGAGACACAGAATAACATGCCGGGGATGGACACGTAGGATAACGTGCCGGGGATGGACACACAGGATAATATGCCGGGGATGGACACATAGGAGAACATTCTGGGGATGGACACATAGGATAACATAGCGGGGGATGGACACACATTACAGAAGCATCAAAAAAACAACGTGATACTTTGTAATCGGGGTACATCTCACCCTGTACTGCGATGCAGCGCACCACATAGCAATACATTTCCAAGCATACAATAAATACATTCAGAAATAAATACATTCGCTCAGCGGTATGATGCCGGACGTGATGTGCTTGGAGGACGAATCTCCAGACCAACACGTCATGCATGACGCCGCTTACCCCAAAAAAACGTAGCATCCTAATACACATTACTTTTCCTAATGTCACCAAAAATCATACAAAAACGAAAAACCGAACGATACAGTCTACAATAGGCATCGGGTGTGTAGCGGGGGGGGGAAG